GATCCTCTGCAGTGAATGGGTGCCGTCAGAATGAGAGTCCAAACAGCTGATAAAAACATCACAATAATCCACAAGTCTATGCATAATATTGCTTTCAATGGAGAAATATTTTAGCCGGAAGCAATGGTTTGAAGTTAAAAACATCACTTTTCGCTTTACAAGATATTAACTGATGGACTGGAGTGGTGTGGATTACTTGTGGATTATTGTGATGTTTTTATCAGCTGTTTTGACTCTCATTCTGACGGCACCCATTCACTGCAGAGCATCCACTGCTGAGCAAGTGATGTAACACTATATTTCTCCAAATCTGATGAACAAACAAACTCATCTACATCTTGGATGGCTTGAGAGTGAGTAGATTTTCAGCAAATTTTCATTTTGGGTGAACTATTCCTTTAAACACTGCAAAATGCCCAAGCTGCTCTTTTCCGAACAACACAAGTGGATGGTAATTTATACTGCCAAACTCCAGTAGATTTGTGAATTTAATGTACGATCAGTTGCTCAGCCTTTAAACGATCTGGTTTATAACACAAGTTGTATGGACTAATTATATGATATTTTTCAGGTGTTTTTTTGGTGCTTTACAATATAAATCTCATCCATTTTCATTTTAAGCTTGGATATTCTGCCTAACATTTATTTTGTCTTTTTAATGGAAAATAAAAATATATATATATACTGGAATGAATCAATGTGAATGAATGAAATGAAAATGTTCTTACTTTAGGTGAAGTATAGCTTTTAATATAAATGTGTTGATTTGATATTGGGTAGTCACTTAGACACGCTTGTAATATCTTTTGAAATATTTCTTCATTTAGGAGCCTGTGAAGCCAGAGGAGGCACGAGACATGGCCAACCGAATCAACGCCTTTGGTTATTTAGAATGCTCAGCCAAGACAAAAGATGGCGTGAGAGAGGTGTTTGAGATGGCCACCAGGGCTGCGCTGCAAGCGAGGAAACGGGGCAAAAAGTCTGGCTGTCTGCTGTTATAGAAACCTGTAGAAGAGAGGAGGTCCGTTAACAGCCCAGGAGACTTCAGAGCAGGGAGGGAGGGAGGATGGGACGAGCCTAGCATTCATGTCCTAGTACAGTCGGCGTACCGGACTGATACTGGGACATCATGTCAGACAAACCACAAGAGACCAACGGAAAGACTTCAGGAACAAGATGACATCATTTCCTGTCATCACAAAGTTTGGGATTAAGAGTTTTCTGGTCACATCAAGCAAACAAATTAGATTTCTAAACTGACTCTATACCTAGGATATTTGATGTTATTCTTCTCCCCCCCACCCCCACTCTTTAGTCCCGAACAAAAAAAGGTTCTTTTAATAAGCGTCCTGCCTTCAGCAACTGTTTTGTGCATTGGACAAATTGTATGTATGTTTGTATGTGTAAGAATGAATGTTTGTGTGAAATGAGCGCATGTCCGTCTCCAGGTCGCCATCTCTTCTTTGTATATGCGTGTATCTGCCCGGCTTTACTCTGTTTGAACATTCTGTGTTCAACTAAAGCACACACTGAATATTGAAGTGGGCTGTATTGTGTTTAACCTCCCACTTCAGGATTTTTCCTTTTTTTATAGCTGATGTCTCAAAGGATTCTGGGCTGTACATTAGGGATCTGAACCATTTAGTAATACTGATTTATTTAATGCATACTGTTTTTTTTTTTTTGTTGTTGTTTTTTATCATTTGCCATTTGCATTTAGAAATAAAATTTAAAGAAAATCAGATTTGAAAAGTCATTTTTCATTTACTCAAATTCCTTCTGCTTGTGTTTCATAAAGGGGTGCTACTTACTCAATACTGCACAGTGTACACTATAACAACTATATTGTTGTCTTGTAACGCCACTATGGCTGCATTCGGAATTGCATACTATATATAGTAGGCAAAAAACAGTATGTGAACAGACTAGTATGTCCGAATTCGAAAATGTAGGCAAAAAGTACCAGATGACCTACTATTTCCAGCAAGATTCTGAAGTGCACATCTGATGGACACCTTACTTACCCATGAGGCCACAAGGGATAGGAGTTGGAAATGGCAGTGGAGCACCATAACTGACGTCGGTGGGTCACATGACAATGACAACATGAGGAATGTAGTACGCACTACTACACACATTCATACTTTATAGAACATACTTTTTAATGATCACAAAGTAATAATAATAATAAACATCTATTTGTATAGCACCTTTCATACATGAACTACAACTCAAAAGTGCTTCACGGGTATAAAAAAAGGAAGAAAAAAAACATTGACAATACAATTTCACACAATATCAATATAAATTATACAAAGTAATCATTTAATCAAAATAAGTACCATGTCAGTTTCATGTCAATTGCCTCAAGATGTCATATTTTCTTTCTTCATTCATTCCTCACATTGGAAATGCAAGGTCAAGTGTAGTACAGTTTTCTGTGCCGTGTGCTTTGTTGCTTTGTATACTGCACATTTTAGGACATGCATGCTGTAGATCTTCAGTAGTTGGCATACAAAAAATTCCATACTACTCAATAGTATATGAATACAGCCAAAGGAGGTTGTGTTTCAGTCCTCCTCCAACCAAGACCACACTATAGTGATAAATGCCGTGAGGCTCAGCAAAAGGGTACATGTGAGCACTCTTCTGGAACCTGAAATGATAAATGGGACACCCTTCAGCAGGGGTGCCCAATCCTGTTCCTGGACAACGACCTACCTGCAGAGTTCAGTTCCAGCACAGCTGTCTGTAATTATCAAGTACTCCTGAAGATCTTAATTAGCTGGCCCAGGTGTGTTTGATCAGGGTTCGAGCTGAACTTCACAGGAAGGCCTGTCCTGTCCAAATACCCACACTTGCAGTCTTTGCATTTGAATACTTATTCAATGCATTTGAATACGTATTAAAATCGGAGTATTGTTGTCCATGTAAACGTACTCAATGTGATGTTGTTGTTGAATAAAAAAACTAATAATGAATAGCATGACAGCAGCAATCGTAGTCCCCTCCACCATGTTTGAAGTTTATGGCCTGCCCAATTCGGAAACTCGGGTATCAAAATTATCTCTGAGTTTCACACACAGTAGTAAATATGACTTAAGAGGCTGTTCACTTCTGATTAGGAAACTCGTATTTACGGTAATTCCGAAAGCACGTGAAGGCAGCATTACATGACGTATTTCTTGTATTTGGCCCAAGCATTCAAGTGGGTGTGAAGACCACAATGCCTTGTCCAAATACCCACACTTGCGGTCTTTGCACTTGACAACTTGACTACTTATATGACGTATTTCCTGTATTTGGACCAAGTGTTCGAGTGGGCGTAGTGTTGTATAAATGCAAGTGTTTACAGAGCTTTATTTTTATTTTCAATACTTTTAAAATTTTAAAATGTCTGTTCAGTAGTCTCTATAACAGATGACACAATTTAATTTTGTGGTGCTTCTAATTAAGTGATAAAAAGCAGTTGCAAATGTTGTACAAAATAAATATCACCACTACTCATTTGCACCTATAAAACTTGCAACTCTTTGTTTTACTACCAAATTATATGCAAATACCTAATTATTATTAATATTTAACATGCATTGGAAAGGTTTCTGTGACCTCTCGCGCGATCTTGGCAAAAAGTCTCACGATTTATTTCCACAACATGATGCATGATGGGATACACTAAGCCTAAAATGGGATACACTAAGATAGTGTGGATTTAGTGTGCGTTAAGGGCACTGTGCTTCAGCGTTTTTAAGACCTGGGACTTTCTTGTGCACTTCCTGTCGTGCGCACGCACTCTCAAGTGGCCAAGACCGCAAGTGTGGGTATTTGAACAAGGCACAAGTGTGTGTAGAACTTTTGATTATTCAGTGGGACACACTTACACCAGTGCTGTAAAACTGCAAGTTAAGTTTTTTACAGATCTATATTTACACATTTTGTACAGTACATGTACTTTGCACTTTAAAATAAACCTATACATTTATTTTCAGCAGTCCCTATGTATAACAATTTATTTGTGGTGCTTCAAAATAATTGATAAAAATCAGTTGCAAACATTTTACAAAATACATATCTCTGGAAATTCATATCTCTGGCAGTCTGGCCCTATAACTGTGGCCTAATGGTAAGAGAGTCGGACTTGTAACCCAAAAGTCACAGGTTTGAGTCTCGGTACCTGCAGGAATTGTAGGTGGGGGGAGTGAATGACCAGTGCTCTCTTCCACCCTCAATGACTGAGGTGAGACCCTTGCCCCAACTGCTCCCCGCATGCCACAGCAAAAAATGGCTGCCCACTGCTCTGGGTGTGTGTGTAAAGTCTCACGACCTATTTCCAGAACATGATGCATGAGCCTTGAATACTGCTCTGAAGCGGGACAGTTTTGCAAATTATTATTATTATTTTTTATTTTTTTTAACTTATTTTTTATTAACCAACATCATAACTACATTTTACAGAATGACAAGAAGAGTACAGAGCAAAGACAATAAAAGAAAAACAAAGAAATTTGGAATAACAATACACCACTATAACGAAACCATCAAAACCAATAAACACATAACAACAGCCTTGGATGGGATCAAATTAACCAGCCAATCCATTCAAATGAAAAGGGAAAAAAAAGGTGTTTAAAAGCTTCCACCCCATATCTCACCCAGCTCTTTCATTAAGGGTTTCCATTGTTCAACAAACAGACTCATTCTGAGTCATAAACTGTACGTTATTTTTTCCATCTCATAGATTTCTCTCACTGTCCGTAAGCATTCATCAAGAGCAGGTGGCCTTCTCTGAAGCCATTTAATTGTAATATTCTTCTTTGCTGCAACTAGGAGTATTCGTAGGAGGTACCTTCTCTTCTCACTTTTTATTAAATCTGTCTTAACTCCCAAGATAGCTATTAAAGGGTCTCTGGGTACTTGAAAAATTGTATTAATGAAACCAAATACATTTGTCCAGTAAGGAACTAGAATAGGGCATTCCCAAAAGATGAGTGTATGTGTTGCTTGTTCTCCACACTCCCTCCAGCAGGCACTGGATTGACTTGAATTAAATTTGGCTACGATTTGGGGCGTTCGAAAATAACGATTAGTCACCTTCCGATGGTATTCTCTCCAGATTCTACTACATGTTATTCTATGTTTCTACACGTATTTCAGCCCAGTTCTCGTCAGATATCACTACCTTGAGCTCCTTCTTCCATTTTAACTTTATATAATATGTGTTGTCTTTCTTCATGTCTTCCAGAGCCCTGTATATACAGCTAATTGGTCTCAGGATCTTGTTACCAGAGCTATAGGTCTATATCCAGCACAGTCAGTCGGGTCTTTACCTTCTTTATAAATAACAGATATAATTGCTTCTTTCCACGTGGATGGCAAATTACTATTATTATGAGCATCAGCGTAAGCCTCTGCTAACAGTGGACAAATATGACTTCTAAAAGTCTTATAAAACTCATTATTGAATCCATCAGTTCCAGGACTTTTATTGGTTTTCAATTGTAAAATAGCCTCGTTGATCTCTTGCACAGTAATAGGAGCATCAATTGCTTCAGTAAGACTCATCTCAGTTAAATTTATTTCTTTTAAATATGCATCTATCTCTTCTATATCTAATTCTTCTTTATTTTCTGAATATAGACCTTTATAAAATGAAGCAACTGCATCTGCTATTTCCTTTGGTTTAAAAATAAAGGGTTTATTAGAATCATTAGTCCTGATTTTTTTAACTGTGTTAAGCCCTCTTTTATTCCTGAGCTGGAATGCAAGTACGGTAGTTTACTCGCCCTAGAGCCATACTCATAGAAATGTTGTTTTAGAAATCTTAAGTTCCGTTCTACCTGGTCAGTGAGCAGTTCATCCAATTTCCTTCTCGCTTCTGTCAGCTGAATTAAGTTTTCCGCGGTAATGTTCTGTTTGTGTTGCTCTTCCAGCTTACAAATTTTATTTTCTAATTCAATATGCTTAGTTATTTTTGTTTTCTTTAAAGCAGATGCATAAGCGATCACTCCACCCCTTAAAACTGCTTTCGCTGCCTCCCAGAGAATGACTGCAGATACATCTCCGGTATTATTCATATCTAGGTAATATTTAAACTCGGATTCAATATATGTTTTAAATGCTGGGTGTCCTAACAATCATTCCTGATTCCACACAGTTATTCTTCAAGGCCTTACTCATTATAGAGAGGGGTTTATTCGATAAAGGATTTCTATCCAGTGGGGATAACACACAATTGAAGT